GGTGGGGCCGGTTCCCCGGGGGTGTCGGGGGGTGCCCACCTCCCCAGCACCGTTCCCAAGGCAGCCCAAAGAAGCACAGGCACAGGCGGGCAGCAGGGAGCACTTTACCAAGCTGGCGAGATTAAAAGTACAACATTCCGTAGTTGGCACCTTGGCGGCCCCAGGCCGGGGCTGTCATAGGGGCTGTCCTGCTGGTCGGGCTGTTCCCGGGACCCCACTGCCTTTCCAGTGGAGCGGCCACCGGGAGCGGCCAGGGACGAGCACTGAGCCAGGAAGAGCCCCAGGAAGAGCGCCGGGAAGAGCGTGTTCCTCCGGCCAGGGAAATGAGGATCTCCGTCCCGGGGCCAGTCTGTGTCCCACAGCTGACCTCTGGCCCGCTTGGACATTTCCCCCCGGCAGCATTGGCCACTCCAGCCAATGTCCCGTGCTCGCCCGCAGCCCCCTTTGCCGGCTCCTTCCCTGCTTTCCTGAGCAGTCATGTGCAAAATGTACCCGTCCAGAGCTTCCCAAGCTGTGCCCTGGCCCCATCCAGCACCCTGCCACTGGCTGGGGCCACGGGATGGGGGTGAAATGTGGACATTCGTTAGAGCTTTTTTCTTGTGGTTGTTTTTTTTTGTTTGTTTTTTTTCCTGAGTTTCTCAGCCTGGCTCTTAATTACAGGCTTAAATCTGCAGCCCTGGGAGAGGAAAGGGAGATATGAGCGAGTACCAGGAGACAGGAGAGGGGAACCAACTGGAGCTTCAGTGGGATCAGATCCAGGTGGGGGCAAGGTTGGGGAAGTGTTTGCCTGGGCTCTGCTCCCCGGGGATGCAGAGCTCCTGATGGGGCAGAGACCCCCAGAGCAGCCCAGGCGCCTCGGTGGGGCAGCCAAAGCACTGCCGTGGTGCCCTGCTGCTGCCTGGACCCACTGCAGTGCTCCCCCCAGCACAGCCGGGCTGGAGTGTGTGGAAATACATCAAGAAATCAAGCAGAAATTTCCCTGAACACCCTGTTTCCTTGTCAGCCGCGGCTGGCCCTTCCTGTTTCTCTGGGTGCGTGGCCGTGCTCGCAGCTCGTGCTTCCTCCCCACCCTGCCCCAGCCCCACACCATGGCTTCTGGCACTGGCTGCTGAGCCCCCGTGCTGGGGCAGCTGGGGGTGAGGACAAATCCCACCCAGGGATGTGCAAACCCTCCTCCATGGCCCCACACACGTGCCCCGATGGCTCGTGTCCCACTTGGCCTTGCTCGGCTCCCTGGTGGCCAGTGGGCACGGGTGAGTGGTGGGCAGCCCTGGGGAGGACCCAGGGGTCACCAGGGAGGTGGCTCAGGTGATGTCCATCTGGATTCCAGCCCCCATCTCGGGAACATCCCAGGACCTCCGGTGCCGGGGCTGCAGGAGAAGTTGTTGCAGGGTCTGTCAGGGAGATGCAGGCGGCAGAGCTGGGGACGAGCTTCCTTCCCATGGCACAGCACCCCCACCGCCCCAGCCGGCAGCTCGGTGCAGGACCCCCAGCACGGGGGCTGGCGGGGAGTGGGGTGGCTGCTGGAACCCCTGTGCAGTGAGGCCAGGGGGGCTGGCGGTGGAGGCGACTCCGGGGTTTGTTTTTGGACTGAGAGCAGAGGAGCTCCAAAATGCAGCATTTTGGGGGCTTTCAAGGGGCGGGGGTTTGGCTTGAGGTGGTGGCGCTGGCTGCGGATGCCGGGTGCCAGTTCCCTGTGTGACAGGGAGGGTGCTCAGGCCAATGACAGGGAACCTCCTGTGACTCTTCAAAAGCGACTGCAGATCCAGCCGAACCCCTGGCATCTTCCCAAAGTGCATCTGTGTGTCCAGCTGAATTCAGCCAGGGTATCTCTGCATGGGAAACTCAAGGTACAATGTCAAAGGGAAGAGAATCAAACATCACCACCACTGTGCATTAGAAAAGCTGTTTAAAGTACCACATGCCGAAGTGACCAGAGTCTCAAGCTGCTTTGCTGCGGGCATGGGGCAACACCAGGGGCTGTGATCCTGTTCTGCTTCCTGGGCAGGCGCCTTCAATCCCAGGAGCTGGCTCAGCCAGGGCCAGTTCCAGCCTCTTCCCTCGTGGGAAGGGCCCAGAGTCATGAGGGCTTGGGCTCCAGCCACTGCCTCTCTGCCAGCAGCTCTCCAAGTAAGGAACAAAAGCAGAAGAACCCCCCGGCAGGATACGGGGGCTCCCCAGCAGCCAGGACAGCCCTTTGCAGCAGCGCTCCCTCTGCAGCCATCGCCACCCCTCCAGCTGGAGGGGCCCCTGTGTGGTCAGGGCTGGCTTTTGGGGCTGTTTGCACCGTCCAGCTCAGGGGCAAACTCTGTGATGACCCTCCGGGCCAGCGGGTTCGTGGTCTTGAGCAGTTCGGCGGCAGATGGCCGAGTACCGGGGCTGGTTTTGCTGCTCTTCTTCTGGAGCAGGGCTTTAAAATCCTCATTCCTGCTGGAAGACTTCCCACTGCTGCCTGCTGCTGCCAGGGACTCACCAGCTGGGGAGCCTGAAATCTTTACGGGTGAGTGGGAGGTGGGTCGGCTGCTGAAGGTGTCACCAGGCTCTTTCCGCCCCAAGACCTTCCTCTTCGACCTAGGCACCAAAGGGACATGGGAGCAGTCTGGGGCTGGGGTGAGCTCCCAGAGCGAGGGGCATGGTAGTGCCCAGCCTGCTCTGCTGGGGCAAGCTGACAACATGAGCATGGCAGGTGGTGCTCCTGGCAGGAAGGACTGATCTGGAGCTTCCCCACTCTGCTCAAGGCAGCAGCAACCAGGCTGTCCCCAAGGATGAACACTGCTCCCAGTATGGAAAATGAGGGTGTCATGGTGGGGGACACTACACCCAGGGCTGTGGCAGTGGTGGGACTCAGTGGGCACAGGGGCTGTCCCCTCCAGTACATGCACCAGCCTTACCTGTGGATCACCGTGAAGAGATCCTCTGTGGTGCGGGATGTTGTGAACACCTCATCGTCCTCCTCCACGATGGACTCGGCCGTCTTGTCACTGGCAAAGCTCTTCTCCTCCATGCTGGCTTCTGCTGAGCTGCCTGTGGGCAGGGAGGAGACAGCAGTGAGCGCCCTGTGCAGCATGGGGAGCCCCTATCCCTGGGGTGATCCCACCACAGGAGTGGGGAGACCCTCACCTTGCTCTGAGGCAGGCTCGCTGGCAGGCGTGCTGCCCACAGCCTTGGGGGACGGCAGATCCTCGGTGTCAGGGTCACAGCAGGCAGGCTCGGTGTCCAGCGTGATGATGGGGCTGGGGGTGGGTGGCAGGTCCCCCACACCAGCTGCCAGCTGTGCTGGGGCTGGCATGAGCGGCAGGTACAGCACGCTGGGTTTTTTGGGCACTGGCGGCGGCACCTTGGCTTTCCTGCGCTCCCCCTCGGCACCGCTCCGCTCTGGCCGCAGCTCGTCCAGGCTGCCCTGCGAGAGCCGCCGGGGCCCCGCCGGGGTCAGGGACAAGTGGGGCTCCCCCAGACCCCTCCTCAGCTCCCCTCTCCGCAGCACCACAACGGCCTCCTGTGCCAGCCCCTTCTCCTTGGCAGCAGTGCCTGGCGGGGATTTGGGGGACAAGGGACCCTCCTCCCGAAGAACTGGGGGCTTGGGCAGGATGCACAGGGGGCGCCTGGCCAGTGGTGGCTTCTCTGCCACGGGTGGCTTCACTTTCCTCTCCGGCCCCGGGCAGGGGACACGTGCTGGCTCCTCCGTGTGCTCCGGGCCATCGGCATTGTCCTCTGGCTCTGAGCGGCTGATGGAGCGGAGGCGGACGGAGCGCAGGTCGGACTGTGTCACCACGGGCATGATGGGTGTGATGGGACTGGTCTTCTGGGCCAGCTTGGTGCCAAAGGTGGAGTCAGAGTGGTGCCGGCTGACCTTCGTCTTCCCCTTCAGGGAGATCTTCAGCCCTGAGAGGTCGAGGTGGGCGGGTGGAGTCAGTGGGAGGTCGAAGGACAGCCTGCCCTTGGGGCTCCTCTCCATGGGGGACGTGGGGGGCAGAGAGGATTTCCTCTCGGGGACCAGCGGCCTCACACGCACCTGGTGTGGGGAATGCCCGAGGACGGTGGAGGTGGGTACAGTGGGGGTTGGGGTCTCCGACTGACTGGAGTACCCGCTGGATGGGGACATCAGCCCTGTGGGCCTGCCGGGCGAGGAGGTCTTGAGGTCTGCCTCGGCAGAGAGCTGGGAGGGCGTCGTGGCCCTGGAGACTGAGGGGGACACGAGGGACTCAGAGCTGCCCCGTGTCTTGGCACACTCAACGGCCGTGGTCCCTGTGGTCGTGCTTGAGCCAGAGAGGGACTGGTAGGGATCGCTGCCGGCCCTCCAGTCTGTGAGATGCCACTGGTGAGGGGTGGCTGTGCTGCTGGGCTCCCTGCCCGCACTCCCCTGGGGGTCGGCGTGCACCAGCCGGTGGCCCTGGAGCTCCGGTGGGATGCACAGGCTCTTGGGCCGCTGGTCCTTGGGCAGCGCTGCACTCAGCCCCACGTCCCCGTCCTGCCCCTCTTTGATCAGCGAGACGCTGCGTGTGGGTGGCGAGGGCTTCTTCTTGGCCTTCTTCAGGGAGATGCTCTTGGAGCGCCGCCGCCGCTGCCCCTCGGGCTCCAGCCCCAGGGAGATGTTGTCGGTGCTGGTGCTGCCCTCGGAGCTGGCGCTGGGGTAGCCCAGGGCATAGTTGGCGCTGCCCCGCCGGGTCTCGGCGTACGTGATGTCCACGGAGCAGAGGGACCCCGAGTCGGTGGGCACCGACAGCGAGCGCTCACGGAAGCGGCACCCTGCCCGCTCCACCTCCAGCTGCACCGGCCC